AGGTTAAAAAAAGTGAAGGAAAATGAATTCGAGAACGATTCAAAATTTTAAACATAAACGGCCAGGAACTACTGGTTCCTGGTGAGATGCGCTTGAAGGTAAGCTGACAATGAAGGACGTCAGCATCGTCACAGACCAATAAAACAAGGAGATACTGAATAATCTCAGTACAGAGTATTTAAAAAACCGACCTCAAAAGTGCGTAGAATTATATCTATTTGCCAAGTTTTATTGCAATCGGTTACCAGAATGCGCGAGAAACCGGACTCATCCTCTAGTTTGCCACCCTTAAATTTGGAATATTTTCTTCAAATTTAAATGGAGCCACTACTGAGGTACCCTCTTTCCAACAAAAAAAGAACCATTTAAATGGATTACAAATCCGGAGTTATTGCGTACAAAAAAAATACAGTCGAATTGCGAACCTGCTCCTTTTTTCAAGCCAATTAAAAAGTAAACGAGAGCAACTACGTTAGAGCGTATTGATGAAAATTGTAAAGCTAATAGGAGGGAAATATTCTCCTTCTCCTGACTAAATGGCGTAATTACACTATAATAATATTTTTTCAGGGCATTGTAATTTCGGTTTAGCAATCCACGTGTTAAGTTGTAGCTCGTGACAATCTCGTTGTATCAATTTAGTAATATTCATACAAAAAATATACATACGAAGTATTATAGGAAAATGTTCGCTTTTGAAAGGTGAATAGGCAATTCACGACGAGAAGGATAATACGTGAGACTTCTTACTGGTACTGAACAACTTTCGATAGAGAGCTCAATTCCAAAAAAATTCTTTCCCTCAAAATTTTCAGTTGAATATATTTTGGGAAGAACATTTTAAAATACTTTTGGAACATGATGAATCACGTCTTTAAATTTAATTAATACATTTTTTATGTATACGTATGCCACGGACCACTAGTCCAATCGCTTATTCACCGAACATTATCGCGATCGTGTGTGTGGACAAAGATACGCCTAAAGCAATATTAATCAAACAATCACTTTTCGTTAACGACTGTACTTACTCTATTACAATACAGAAATGTAAGTACCAATAAAGTTCATCTGAGTAATGTGAGAAGTATCAAGACCGGTAGCTATTGTCCGTTTGTAATATTTTTTTACATCATACCTTTATACGATTTAATTGTTATAAATAATAGGGTATGATGGATGGGCAATGATTTAGAGGTAGATTAATATGGCTTCCGAGTTTTTGCTCGAACGTTTTAAGAGCAGGAATGTTTGTATAGGCTATTGTTTATTTCGGAAATGGGTATTATTTGTACAATATATCAATGGTTTGTTCATACAGATATTTTAATGGCTACGCGGCCATATTTCAAAGACATCTTTATTGCAGGTTTTTTTTATGTTTCAACAGTTAGTGAAAATCTAAACTTTACAACAAAATTATTGATCAGTCCCATGTCTTTTTAATTAAGTTTTGAATCCCTCCTTGTCAAGCCCTTGGTTATGTGGGTAGGGCACTATAATCTGTCCAAGCACTGGAACCTTATAAAATCAGTACCCCAGATCAGCCCGTGGACAGGTTTAAAAATGATTGATCAGTTCAAAGAACGCAAATATTAAGTTCAGTGGATCCAGTGCCGGCTGCAGGGTGTGCGGAACACACGGGCGCAGGGCCTTAGAGGGCGCCGAGCACAAGCGAAATAAATAGGTAGTTGCTTCCCAACATCATTTATAATTGCACCATTTGCACACAAATTTCCGATCACAGAGGAAAATATAACTGTAACTATCATAAGTATTCCATTTTGATCTGTGCTTACTAGAGGGTGAAAGGGCATTGACTGCACCCAGACGCCACATGAGCTAGCGCCGACCCTGGAGGGGTGTATTATTTCGCGTCAACTAGCGAGATAGTGTGATCTAACCCCTTTGAGGGGTTACGTCAAACCTTAATCTGGGGGCAAACTGAAACATCACAAAAAATCTCAAGATGATCGATCAGCGACGTATATTGTAGATCACTTCCTCAGGTCATTGTGTGAACGAATGATTGGATGAATTATTGATGAATGGATTCAAATCCGCAAAAATGAGTCATAGTCCGTTACAGTGAATGAAGTTGTGTTATTTTAGCTTCGCTGCAAATATCATAGTGCAGTAAATACAGTTTTAATCCAGAGTTGACACAATACGAGCACAACTCAGGTCTTCGAATCACTGAGACCTATCAAGATCTGTTTGGGCTGGGCGACTGATTGATTGATTATTATCCATTTATTACAAAGCACTTTCTCGTCACAACGTGACCTCGCCGCGTGGTATCCTGTCACACCCAAGTCACACGTCGAATGTGAATTAATGCATCACAATTTGGCGCACATGTACCTACATTGTACAACGCAGGTCAGCGCAAGAAATGCCCTTGCTCCGATGTGATCGCCCACCATTTGATCTTGAATGTCGACAATAGTAATTTGTTTTGAAGTTAAAAATGCTTTGTTCACTCGTTTCGTGACCAACACCCTGAGACAAATTTTTACCCACAATTTAGTTTAGAACAGTCTATAAAATAATGTATAATCATACCCTTCGGTAGATAATCTATAATAATAAATAAAAAGCACGCTAAATGGATGATAAGTAAGTATTTATTTGAAATTAACATGTTTTGTCTTATAAATCGGATTAAATATTTCAATTTACATTGGTTCTCATCTATAAATGCAATTCTATCACTACTGTTATGTAGAAATTATTGTAACTCATTTATGATCTTAAATCTAATAGCAATGTGTACATAATTATATACGTAATTTCAATAATGATAAAAATATTAAAAGCTGCAACACGTTTTAGCGATTTTTTTTTTCTAATGAACAAATTTAACCTGAAAACTAAACTTAATTTAACCCGAGTACATATCAGCAGCTTCTTTCATTATATAATTGATAAGAACAATACTAAAAGGAATCGCCTTATATAGTTTATTATGGTATTGCGTAAAGGGCTGGTTTCCAGAATTCGACGTTCGTAGCGAATATTTTGGGCGTGGATTTTATTTATTATATGTATACTATATTTTAATTTAGTCGTAACGCAAATATTGTCCTCTAAAACTATGTATGGTGCTAATAAATTAGGTATTGATAATTTTAGAGACAATTAGCATCAGAATAATCAATCTAAAATACAGTTTAAAGAAATTTTTCGGTATTTTTAAATTTTACTTTCGCGTAATATAAAGCCGAATTTACAGTTCCGTCTCAACATTATCATATTGTAAATTATAGTAAATAATAATCTGGCAGACAGCCACACCAATTATCTGGTCACAAACTAAGAAATTATCTGTACTACGAGTACCAGAACAGGAGCGCAGGAGTCTGTACCTTGTCCGTCTTCCACGGACCAGGGGAAAGGCATTGGGGCTGCCCCGTCAACGGTTCAGGGTCCGTTACCGCAGAATCATGAACGGGAGATTGGTTGCACCCGGACAGGACCCGCTGTCCCGGGTGTGATCAAAGCAGCACAACCGTGAACGATTGCCCAGACTGCGGCGGTTCGATCAAAGCCTGCCACAGTCAAGGCGCTCAATGTTGACCTTGGGGGGACCAGGCCATGGTTTTCTGCACCGAACTCACGAGGCCGAGGTACGGCCGAGGTGTGCAGCAAGGGCGTGGGGCTGTTAACCAGAGTAACGCATGAGGACGGCAACGCCCTCCGCGTTGTGGTCGGGGGTAAAATCGCTGCCGGGGCTAAATGGCGCCTAAGGCGGAAAGGGTGAGGGTTCTCCAATCAAACCTCCACCGTGCCGTGGCTGCCACGGCTGTGGTGGAGTGTTGCTTTGTGAAAGGCACCGTGGATGTCGCCCTCACTCAGGAACCCTGTGTTAACCACACAAACGTAATGAAACTCAATGCCGCTGGTAAGTTGATTTACAACACCTGTGGGAGTAGACCCAGAGCTTGCATTGTTTATAACAAAAACGTTAACCTATTCCTGTTCCAGTATAATGTACTTATGACTTTGTAGCAGCATACTTACTTCCCCGGGGTAGCATTCAGGCCAAGAGAATAGTATGCTCAGCCTATCTACCTAGAGAAAAGAACAACCCCACGGAAGATTTGACAGGACTGGCGGAATACGCTCGGCAACACAAAACGGATCTTCTGGTGTGATGCGATGCCAACGCTCAATACACCGTCTGGGGAAGCTCCAACTTCAACAATAGGTGAGTTATTATATTACTTTGTTCTATCGAATTGCCTGCATCTCAATAACGAAGGATGTACACCAACTTATAAGCGGCTGGCATGTTAGTGAAGAAACTTCAATGTCCGATCATAAACATATGAGATTTGATCTAGCGGCAGAGGGTGCCTGCCACCCCATTACATTTAGGAATCCGAGTGATACTGCCTGGGATGTACAGAGAGAAAGACTAGAGCAGTAGCTACAGGAGTGTCCTAAATCGATCAAAACCACTCAGAGTCTAGAACTAACCATTAAAGTCACCTCCAGGGGCTCCATCAGCGCTTTCGCGGAAAGCTGTCCGCCACAAATTCGAACTTCCAATAGGAAGGTTCCGTGGTGGAACACCAAACTCAGAAAGCTAAAAGTGAAAACTGGAAAACTTTAATAGGGCCAAGCTAACGAAGAATTGGGAGACTTACATGAAGGCACCAACTATACCTAGGACATAATCAAAGTTACTATATCGTATGCCACAATGGCTCAATGCAATTTGGGGAACCAATAACCGTTTGCCAGACCGGGGCTAACCGCTATCCCAACCGAGCTACGAACGTTTCGATTCCTTCATCGGTTTCTTACAGAAGCCGTTTAAGCACAAATCAAAGATAAGCAACAAGCACATAGAGAAGTTCGTGAGGTCTCGTGATTTGTGGAGTATGTTCACAAAAATACACGAGTATATCATGGAGTTTGATGGATGATAATAATAAGGTAATAAAAACATAATGACATTTTAGAAAATAAAATATCACAAATTTGAGTCATAGGTAGATTGCAGCCATAGGGATTCAAACCGTCGACAGACGAATTCATGAACTAATTTTACATATTTAAAAACTGTGTCATCAAATGTACTCTCTATTATTATTCTTCCGTGCTTACGATAATAACAATATGTCTGTATGTATTTAAAACATCAAGAGCCTATCACAGTCCAAAGCTGGACATAGGCCACTCCCAATGCGCGCCATTTCGCCCGGTCCTCAGCATTTCAAACATACTTACTGTTAATATTGTAAGCACGGCAGAATTGTTGATACAAAAATCGAACAAGATAAAAAAAAATCTTCTGTCTGACTGGGCCATGAGTACAGGAGTCCAATCAGATCCGAGAATCTATCTTTGTGTTCTTCGATCTTTCTATCAATAATAATAACAAACAAACAGTATTTTCACAATAAAATAAATAATACTCGCTATTAGTTAAGAGGGAAAAATATTTTCAAAACTGTCTTTTTCTTATATATTCATACTGGCATAGAGTCAGATGATCCACATTTGTAATACTAAATGAAGTATTACTCCGAAAAACAGCGGTGCTGCATTGCGGCACAAGTAGAAAGGGCGGTGATATCCGACCTGGTGGCGTCACACCCTATAACCAGTAATGTAAGAAATATCTATCAAATTATTAAGTCTGGAAATTAGCGACTGCACAAATATTCACCTCTATTCGTCTTTTCTTAGAGCACATTTCCCATATAAAAATAACTAAACCATATGTCTAAGAGCCGTCCTGATTCTGCAATTGTTTCAACTGCTTCAAGACGGTGTCGAGCAACTTTCGTCTGTCTCTTTCATTCTTCTTCAGTACAGAGAAGACTGAGGACTTTTGTTCGGCCTCCTTCAATTTCTCGAGGAGAGTAGCCGCGTCACGAGGAGTTACTAGGGCGTATTTGCCGCCGTCGATGCCGACGTCGTGGAGGTATGAAGACCAGTCCCATCCAGTTATGAGGTTCAGAAGTTGCCTGTGAAAATAACCAATATAGCGTAGTTCCTTAACTTTCTACCATTCGAGTATTTACGTTTAGACTCAGATTTATAAAACAAACTTTGATTTCGACTAAGTAAAAATGGCGAACTAGTGAAAGTTCACCATTATTGCTTAGTCGAAATCAACGTTCCGTTTCATAAATCTCAGCCTTAGAATCAATGCATATAGGAAGTCTTTTTCTTGTCCGTTATAAAACGTTTCCATGAGACACCTACCTTAAACTCGCAAAGTACTCCAGCAGTTCCCCCTCCCTCAAGCCGGGTACGGGCTCTCCAGCGGCGAACTGTTCGCACTGAATCACGTCCAGGTCTAGTTGGTAAAGAGCCCCTGACGATATCTGCTTGACAGCTGGGTCGAGGAGAAGGTTGCGGAGACGGGTGGCTATGCGACATACAGCTGCTCGGACTGCTGCCACCCTGGTTCACAAATACAAAGCGTCTATACTTTTACTTTTTTTAACGCACACACTCATAACCCCCCACAGAACACTACAAATTACACCCAAATTCTCGAATAAATTAAATATAAGCCAAATATTTCTCCCGGCCCTGTAGTCGAACCCGGGACCTCTGCGTGGCAGACCAGCAGGGTAAACGTTCAGCCTCGGAGGCAGATTAACAGATACAGAGAGTAATTATATGTAGTAATATAAACTTAAAAATGACAATAATCAGGGAGTACAAATAAAACTCATTTCATATATATGAGCCTAACGTCTATATTACATCTAAAAATAAATTATAAATAAAATAATTAAATAAATCGCACTTGACAATTCACATAGTATTATCTCAAAGATAAAAAATAAATAAAAAAAATTGCGTTATTTATATTTTATCTCAAAATTACGTTATATATTAATAATTTGTCTCCAAAATTTCGCTATGTTTGTATGTCATTCGTATACGATTTAATTTCAAATAGACATGACAACACTGTCGCTTTGAAATTAAATAGGTAAAATTTTAATTTTATTTCAAATTATTTTATTTTTTTATAACTTTATATAGACTTTTTTATTTTTCTCTCTTCTCTCTTATCATGGTAATTTATTTTCATATGGGTAATTGTCGCCCGAAATAATTATTTTTTATTTTGGTTTTACATTTTTTTTTTATTTATTTATATACTTATATAACAGGGTTCAAAACTCAAAGCTATAAGATGATCAGTGTTGTAGACTGTAAAATATTTATATATATTGTATGTTTATTAATAAATAATAGCTGAATTTTCAATTATAACTAATAATATGTCGTTTAGTGGGTTGTTGATTTTTGATGAAATATAAATAGTGTTGTTTTAAATTATAAACTCTAACTCACTCAAAAGGACACCAAAGTTTATTTTGGACCGATTCTGTTTCAGAGAGAACATTAAGCACATCACTATACAGTAAACATTATTTTTCAATGTGACATCCGTAACTGTCAATTTTTCATCTCTAACAGAGACGAAATAAGGGCCATCCATCCCTAGCAACTTATGAGACAAATGGGCCTTATATCACTTTTAAATATCAACTCTCATTTGCTCTGAAATTACAAATTAGAAAGCTGAAATAGTACAGCGCCAACAACTGACCTGTGTGTACGTCTCCGTATATTCCAAAAATATTCTGTATTTATTGTAATAAAGATAATATCTCTAACTATGAGGGGCTGTTCCATTCGGTGGTGTGGGAAAAACAGCAAAACATCTAATTACACAACAAACGGAATCCCATTTCATCGGTAATTAAATGTTAAACACGTCATTTTTCAATTTTCGTCCATTATAACAAAGCTCAAGTCAAACTGGTCGATTTGAAGTGAAACAATTGACGACACCCGTCAACTGTTTCCAATTCGGGCTAGCCAATCGGAGCGCAGTTGTCACAGCAATGATCTGGCAGAATAACTTTAAAAGAAATTAAATGACATTTCGCCTCTATTTATGGTTATATACTAGATGTTTCAGCAGTACCTGCAGAAGCCCCTAAAATTACTAAGCGGAAAACTCGACACTGACGAAATCCTAGAAGAGCAACACCAATAAGTAAAGAGAAGAATATAATATGATTAATTACCGCGCTCTCTCCGGCAGCTGTTCCAAAGACGACAGCACTCCGGACAAATAACTCAGCATGTCAGTAACGAAGGAGGACGCCTGTCCCGTCGGCTCAACTGCAAAAAAAGACGTACTTTATTACAATAACATGCCAGAGAATCGCATAAAAGTATGGTTTTAGATAATTGTAGGGAACTGCTAATAATTCACAATACACAGCAGTAATTTAGAAAAGTATTTCCTAAATGGTTCCTAATTGGAATTGAACGCGGAACCGTCTCATCACTAAAGTTTTCTACACAACTATGGTTTCGAAAACAAATGAATTATGAAGTCATTATATCATATAGTATTATAGAGAGGTAGGGCCAAATTGACGAAATCATAAAGAAAGGCCAAGTTAAGGAATAATAAGGAATCCTTAATTGACGAGCATATTGTATGAAAACACTGATGCGTGTTCAGGAAGCAAATATGTGTGTCAAGATCGTTGTAAGTGGAAACGTGTGCCTACCCAGATGGGAAAAGGGCGTCAAGAGCATGTATGTCTGTAGATAGTAAGTTTATTTGTGCTAATAGACCCACATGCAGTTAACAAAAGCATTAAAATAAAACAGTCAAATCCAGACATCATCATGATAATTATCATTTCAGCTAAAAGACATCCCCTACTGAACACAGGCTCCCCATAAATCCAGCGGATTCTAATATTAATAATTCTAATAACAATAAACTCTACACGTTCAAGAACCAAAATAACATTGCATAATTACACATTACCATAGAAAAAAGCTCTTGTGTGATCTCTTACATTATACGGAGTACACACATTACTCCTGTTTTGGTTTTTTAACCAAAACAATAACTAGACATTGCATTTGAACGTACCTAAGAGCCAATCGTAGTTTTCCAAGTCGAGGAACTCGTCGACTTTCTTCTCGAGATTGTCGCATATTTGTTTCTCGGCGTCGTCGCGCGCCGACTGGAACATACTGCCTGCCGTCTGTATATAAACAAAACACATCTATATGCACAAAATGTCTATAGCGGTTAGCCCCAGTCTGGGCAACAGTCGCGGTACGAATCCAGCCGGATGGAAGAAATTTTTCTTAGTGTTTGTTCAAATAATTTGTGTAGGACGTCATGTATCGCCCAAGATTGGATTCTGTTTTACACGCAATAAGATCGTTTCTCTTGCTCTCAACCAATGGACATCATTATAAATCAATATTATTACGCACAATGACATCCATGCTTACCTGAGTAGTGACAAGTTCGGATCCCGTGATGTTGCTAATGAATTCGTAGAGACATATCGTGGCGTCTTCCAAATACTTGGTGTCTACGATTATCTGCAAAATAACATACACATTATTCTTTATTCGTGTAGTAAATATAAAAAGATGTCAGCTTATAAACTAAGTTTTTAGATTTATCAAGTAAAATAAGTATATACAAAAATGAGTAGAGTGAGCTCACGAATTAAATTGTGTCAGTTATTGACACAACGATCGGCCAAACACAAAGAAAAATTCCATCCATCAGAGGAATCGCACCACCGTCTGTTGTCTCACCGTGGCTACCGCTCTTACCAACGGAGCTACAGATCTTACGAATTTCTCTACGTGCTTGCTGCAGATTTAGAGTTTGAAACCCAATACGGGTTTAAACGGACTTTTGCCGTATCCGTAAAAAAAATATGAAAATTTCTTTACTTATATTTTATTGAACATTATGATGGCTACGGCCACAGTGAGGCAGCAGGCGCCGGTGCCAATCCTGTGGGATCGAATATTTTATTTTTTGTGTTTGTCGACGTCGTATTTCTAAGATCCTGGATTCGATTCCCGGCCGGACCAATGTCGAAACTTAATTTTTCTATTTCTATTGTCTTGGTGGGTCTGGATGTTTGTGGTACCGCCGTTGTTTCCAATTTCCATAACACTAGGGCTTTAGTTACTTAGTTTAGGATTAGAGCAGCAGAAGTATCACATATATACTAATTTATTTATTCTAAAATGTTCGTAATAACAACAAACTAAAATGATTTTTCTTACCAAAAATATATCAATGTCATGATAGTAAAAACAACATGATATTAAATAAAATAATTCTGTAATAGTTTCAAAGTTACTGCAAAACCAAATACAGCTTTGATTATTGCTTTTTCGATCTATTCCGTTGATATCCGAGAAGTACGTAGCTGGAGAAAGGGCATACCTGAACCAGCTGCATGAGTGGTAAGGGGCGATGAAAGAGCGCGGAGAGGCAACCGGTGAAAGAACGGCTTAACAGCAGCGAGGCAGAATGACGCGCCGCTGCCGCGCGACGATCGCCCCCTGCAGAATACCGAAGCGGTCATATTATCAGGTGCAATACAACCAGGAGCATATACGGCCATTCAATAGCAAGTAATGGACGTGCACTAGATAAAGATAGTTGAATTCCAATTCCAGGCGGAAAAAGTTTGAGAAACTAACTTTTATTTAAAAACTTATTGTTTGAGTTATATTAATAAAATACGTATAAAAATCGAAGAACTTTGATGTAAGATTTCTCCACCAAAACCATTTAAATTGGCACAAGGGAGTTATTATAACGCATCACTCGCTAAACTTCATTTTTTAACATTGGGCAGTGGTAACTCTGTACGAGAGGTAAATTAAGTAAATAGAATAGACATTTATCGCAACGCCACAACACGCAGATACAAAAAAAAAATTATTGATAACACTTAGACAAGCAAGTAAAACAAAAAGAATTATTAATAAACAAATAAAAAATATATAAAAACATAGGAATGAAACTATTTTTCCGGATTTAAATCGCGTATATTTGTTTTTTCAAACAAACCGACGTTTCGGGCCCTTTACAGGTCCCATGGTCAACCGTGACCATGGGCCCGAAACGTCGGTTTGTTTGAAAAAACAAATATACGCGATTTAAATCCGGAAAAATAGTTTCATTCGTATGTGTAACAATCGCGAAAACCTAAGAACTCGATATATATAAAAACCGACAAAAAGCAAAAAACAAAATAGAACAACAATAATTGGAACTGTTATTTTGTGCGGCTGTGGCGTACGGAGAAGGACTTCATTCAACTTATGCCACAGCCATAATTGACGTGGCGCAGGTTTTCAATGAGCTCTGAGCTGAGATGAGGGACTGACGTATGTCTCGCAAAATAAAATGGAATAAAATAAACTACTTAAAAATGTGTCAAGGTCTTTATTTTACTAAAAATACACGTGTAATTAATGTCAAATGTAAGCGCGACTATGTGCGCGATCAGCAACAAATTTATATTATTTAATAAGAATTACCTAATGTACTACTCGTACAAACATACGTGAGAGAACGGTTGCTTCCCATTTGAGAAGTCGACTGTTCGAATCCCTAGGGCGGCACGTAACTAGACTATTTCTAAATCACATACATTTGTAAATGTTAGTAATAACTTTAACAGTAAAGGATAACATAGTGCTCAAACTTGCACTTCGAAGAAGGTTTACAATCCGAGAAAAACGTGTGATGTCACCAACACGCATTAAGTCTGTGTAACAGACTATACTAACCTGACCTAAACCGTCTCCTTGGAGGAGACTCGTGTCCAACAGTGGGACGTATAATATTAATATTAAATCAAACAGAGCATTTATAAATGAAAACATGGAGTTACATGTACTACTTATTAAATATATGTAAACTTACCTAGTCCAAGGCCAGCGGAGTATTTGAGCCAGGCATAAATAAATTCCTTCACTTGAACATATACTGATGGCACAATCGATGAGAATGGGAATCTACGCAACAAAAACACAATAAATCGAAGGTATATTTTCAAAACGGAAGAAAAAGAGAAGGATTTTAAACCAACATTAATCCATCGAGTATATAACTATAAATAGAGAAGAAATTAATGTCATTCAATTTGTTTGAAAACTATTCTGCCAAATCATTATTGTTTCAACTGCGCTCCGATTGGCCAGCCCGAATGCGAAACAATTGACAGGTGTCGTCAATTGTTTCACTTCAAATCGACCAGTTTAACTTTGCTTTGCTATAATGGACGAAAATTGCAAAATTACATATTTCATTACCGATGAAATGTGATTCCGTTTATTTTGTAATTAGATGTTTTGCTGTTTTTCCCATACCACCGAATGAAACAATCCCCATTGTCAGAGATATTATCTTTATTACAATAAGTACAGAATATTTTTGGAATTATACGGATATGTACACACAGGTCAGTTGTTGGCGCTGTACTATTTCAGTTTTCTAATTTGTGATTTCAGCGCAAACGAGAATTGATATTTAAAAGTGATATAAGGCCCATTTACCTGATGAGTTGCCAGGGATGGATGACCCTTATTTCGTCTCTATTTCTGGTTATATACTCGATGTTACTATCAAAACCGCTGTCGCCTAAACTCACACTCATAATGTTAAACAGTTGATAACTACTGGTCGGAGTTTCTAATACAAAAAGATGTAAGAAATTCTTGACTGTTAATATAATTTAAACTTTACCCTGTTGGCATATCGTTGAAAGTACAGTACCTATTATTACAAGATACGACGTTTTCATTTTATATTAAAGTTTTATCTTTGTGCAATAGTGAAAAGACGACTGACGATTAACGCCTATTAACTTTATCCAAAAAAAATCAACCATATCACAGGGCGATAAGGTTTACTTTCGTTTGTTATAATTACGAATCTATGACGATAAACAGAAAATAGAAAATTTATTGCAATTAAATAAAATAAGACTTCAAGATGAAACACCACTACAGGTAATGTTAAATAAATGCGCCTATTATTTTTGCACTCCAAAGTAGCAACAAAAGGCATTTTTCCACAACTTTAGCGGTTTTGCGCGAGATTATGCCGTACAAGGGGAAATGGTAGGCTGAGCTCAAATTCGCGGAACTTCGCGTACTGTTGGCATACGTGTCACGCCCACTGAGCACTTCTATTGTATTTATTGTTCAGTGTCCACATCCCTGTCCTGATAAACTTGTTAGGCTGAACAAGTTCATCAGGAAAAAGATGGTATCATGCATAAACAGTTTTATTTGTTATAGGTACATACTTTCTGGGGAACGGCTGCGTTTCCAAGTCGTCATTGTCGTAAGGGAACGTATCCATGACGCCGTCGAACTGATCTTGGTTTTCCACCTGAATAGGACCATCCATTAGTAAAATGAAGAAACGTTTAGGACTAGCGTCTTTTTTTAGGGATTGACCCGACCGGTGATCGAACCCGGGACCTAAGAGATGGCGATACCATGAAAACCGGTGTGCAAGCCACTCGATCACGGATTTCTCAATATTTAATGGTGAAACAAATATATTGGCAAAATCACGATGAGGGCAGTGAAGTAGCCTTTTTAAAATACTGAATATTGACAAATCGTTTTAAGACTCCAGGAGTGCGTATGAATTTACGTTATAGTGAAACAAGTTTTATAGCACTAAATAGTTTATATGGCGAACGGCTATGGAGTGGAATTCCCTGCCTTGACTTGACTTGTTCCCTGAACGTTATAACTTGGGTATTTTCAAGGCGAGACTGAATGAGCATTATTTAGGTGTGTATGCTCCATCGTAGACCTCATCGTCACACATCAATGGAGGTCAAATGCGCACTAACATTTCATAAAAAAAATTAAAGAAATAAAAATCTCTCTAGCTATTGGCGTAAAAACTAACATATTACCTCAATGGGCAAAAAGGAAGCGTTGTCGAGAATGTCCCGGAAGACAACCACCCAACGCTGCATCAGCACCTCGGTGTAGTGCTCAGCCATCTCCTGCAGCAGCAGTGGGAGTGGCTCCGTTGGAAGGCCGTAGCATCTATCAATATTATTAGTCAAACTGATTGTATATTTGTTATAATTATTAATACAAAGGTCGAACACTTAGATAAAAAATCCTTTGATCCGGTCGGATTCAAACCGAAGTCTTCTAACGTAACGTGGCAGACGCTATGGCAACTAAGTCAGAACAAACCAGCGGACCTTACGAATTTATCTATGTTCTTGTTTGTTGGATCTTTGTATTTGGTTTTCAACGACTTTTTAGCCGTAGCGCCATCTATGAGAAATCTATGAAAGTATTTCGTCACCCAGTTAGGTAACTTTACAGCTACCAGTCCTGGTTAGAGATGTCGCTATTATTTGTAATGAAATTTGTACTGAATTGATCGTTATTGATGTAAACTTGGCAATTTCGACATACGATACTTTACGTAGGGGGTGTCGATTTGATTGCATTTTTGTTGTAGCTTTTATGTCATTGTTGAATAACGTAATACGTATTTTCGTGAAATATCTAATAAGGTCTTTTTTCAATCTCACTTGATTTTAAACGACAATGTGACTGGCAAATTCAGACTTAAACAACAGTTTCATAGAGCGTCAGCGGCGCATGAAAACGCGTCAAAAACTTTTTTATGATACCAAGTGACAGTATGAATAACTAATGCGACACGCCTGTCCATTTATTTGTTAAAAATAAATAATAGCCATAACAGTAACAATGCCGCTCCGAGCTGTAAATTACAGATCTGAGGGGCACTGCACTGCACCCGTCATTTTGAAACATAAGTTGGATAATCCCATGTGCCAATAATTTCACCAGCACCTTTACCCTCCAAAACCGGAACGCAATAATGTTATAGCTTGGCGGCAGAAATAGGTAAGATGGCACTTCACTGGACGAACTCTTTCGCAACGAGCTCTACTACTACTACTAAGTAATACTGCTACAATGAAGGTTTTCTAACGCTGCATAGAAGTATTCTACACAAAAATTTTGAAATTGCTAAAGTTTATTATGGCAGTGCTAGTTTAGCAACTTGTTTCGTCCAAAAATGAATTATCTCGTGACGTTTGTTTCAAACAATAAGTATGAAAAGAGCTGCAACAACACTCCATCAGAAAATTACATATTCTCTTCAAACTGTATTAATATGTATATTAATACTTATGCTTATAACAAACTATAACAGTTGAATATCATGATAGTTGAGTTTGGGGATTGATGTTGTTTGCTTCCGTAAGTTTAGGTGGTAGGCTTCGGCCGTGGCTAGTCACCATCCTCCCGACGCAGTCGAGTCGCCAAATGGTTGTCACCGTGTTTCGACTCGTGTTCGAGAGTTGCCATTAGGAGGTCGGGTCTGAATAGCGGCGATAAACCGCAGCTGCTGTTCGTCACCGAGACGCAGATCAGATGTCCGATCTCTGGAGCACAGGTTTCTACCTCGTGACGGAGTCTATGTGTACGTTCGTGATGACATCTGTGTCAAGCGTCTCAAGAACCTTGAGGCACCGAGTTTTTCTGTTTTGTGGCTTCTGGTAGACACAGGAGTTGCACAAATTAAACAAAAAAACCAAGCTGTTCCAATATCTGAGTGAGACATCTGATTTGATTCAGCATAAGTACCCAGCGGCGCAACTAGTCATTCTGGGGGACTTTAATGCACGTCAAGAATGGTTGTTCCCTTACCAGATGACCGATATTGCTGGGAGAGAGACGCGTAAACTTGCGCTAACGCTAAGCCTATCCCAGCTTGTCAGTGGCGCCACTAGGATACCAGGTGTTGAATCTCATACGGCTAATTGCTTGGACCTTCTGCCGACAACTGATCCGGACCGATACTCTGTGGTTGTGGATGCCCCACTGGGTACTTCCGACCATTGTCTGGTGAAAACTGTATCCCACTCGATCAGGGCCTTAGTGGTATGAGACGAGTGTGGCGATACAGTTTAGCAGAATGTGCCATTTCTTTGTGTCATAATAATATCCTTGCTTAGGTTTGCTTTACTTCAGGAGACTCGTCGAGCTGTGCTGATGCTGTAGTCGAGGTCTTGCGTTTGGGTATGGAGTACTACATACCATACTCCGATGTACCCAATGGACCCTAAGCTCGTCCATGGTTTAACGCTCACTGCAATCGTGCTGAAGCACAAAAGCAGTCCGCTTACCAAGCATGGGCATATGCTCGACTGCGTAAAGCTCCGAGTACTCGGAATCTGAAGAAAGCTTTTAATATAGCCGCCAAGAAGTGCAAAAGCGTGTTACATAGGTCCAAGTTTGACCACGTGCACCGCATAGGGGCCAAGCTTGCCTCTTATCCAGCAGGTAGCAAATCCTTTTGTATCTCTGGTCAAATCTCTGGTCAAAGCGGTCCAAAGAAACTTTTGCCATGTTTGTCACCTCTGCTGAGGCCGGCTGGCACACTGGCCCATACTGCAGAAGAGAAGGCGAATCTCTTTGCCTCACTCTTTGCAGAGAGTTCGCGTCTGGATGCCGCAGGGAACCTACCACCTACCTTACCTCAGGCTGGCTGCATTATGGCGCCAGTTCGCAAACGCCAAAAAGAGGTACTTAGAACTCTGCGGAATCTTGATGTGAATAAAGCTAGCGGGCCAGCTGGAATTCCAGCGTAGCGGTAGTCCTACTTAACTGTGCCCCTGAGTTGTCTCCTATTTTCACACGCCTGTATCGCCTCTCACTTGAGACTGGTGTAGTACCCAGGTCGTGGAAGCTTGCGAACGTGCAACCTGTGCCAAAAATGGGAAGCAGAGCTGACCCTGTCAACTATAGACCTCTCTCTCATCTCAGTCACTTCCATACTCTACAAGACTATGGAACGTGTACTCACCGACCGTCTCCTGACGTACCTTGAAGACAACGACCTCCTCAGTGATCGCCAGTACGAATTCCGACGAGGTCGATCTACTGGGGATCTTCTTGTGTAGGCCTGTCACATATGGAGCGAGGCTATAGAAAAGCGAGGCGAAGCACTTGCAGTGTCTTTGGATATTTCTAAAGCCTTTCACAGGGTCAGGGTTCGCAAGCTTTTTTAAGTAAGCTTCCCTCTTACGGGCTTCCCACTGACCTTTAAGGTGACCTTTACTCTTCCGAACATATGGCGATAGTTCCTCAGGGTTCCGTACTTTCTGCAACTCTCTTTCTGCTGCATATCAGTGATATGTTAATTCCAGGTACCTTTGCGTACGCTGATGACAGCACAGTTGTAGATAGATACATGACCAATGCAAGGGTCAGTGGAGAGGAAATCCAGTCTTGTCGAGAGTCCATGGTTAGCCGTTTAAATTTGACGCTCAAGGCAGTCTCCGATTGGGGCGATTCCAATCTTGTCAAATTTAACGCTACCAAAACGTAGGCGAGTCTACTCTCCACAAAACGGAGTTCCTTTGAGCTGACTCCGACTTTTCGTGATATATCCATACCGATAGCCGACCGTCTCCAGCTACTTGGAATGGACCTGGCGTCCAATCTGAACTTCGGCAGATAAATTGAATCCATGGCCAAAAATGCAGCCAGGAAGCTTGGCATCCTTTCCAGGGTGAGGCGTTACTTCATATCAGGACAGTTGCTTCAGCAGTATCAAACACAAGTTCGGTCGTGTATGGAGTACTGCTGCCACCTTTGGGATGGCTCTGCTACATACCAACTGGCCACCTTGGATTCAATTGACAAACGTGCCAAGAGGCTTATAGGTGACTCGAAATTAGTAGAGGCGAAGCTGCAGAGTCTTGAACACCGCCGTAAAGTTGCCTGATTATCGGTATTTTACAGGATATATCACGGAGAGTGTGCGATGGAATTAAACGATTTAATTCCGCCGTCCCCTTTCCATCATCGGGGGACTAGGCGTAGGCTTGACTTCCACCCCTATGTTGTGGATATTCTAAAGATTCGCAAGAAGCGTTACGCTTCCACATTTATATGGCGAACGGCTATGGAGTGGAATTCCCTGCCTGCAGACTTGTTGCCTGAACGTTGTAACTTGGACCTTTTCAAGGCGAGAGTGAATAGGCATTATTTAGGTGTGCTTGCTCCATCGTCGACCTCATCGTCACTTTCCATCGGGTGAGATGGAGGTCAAATGCACACTCACATTTACATTAAAAAAATCATAATATTCAACAAATATAAATTATAATTAAAAGTTATTTATAATTTGTTGTTCAGTGGTAATTATTATGTTAGATGTTGCATGGTTATAGCTATGTACAAATTTGTGTATCCAATGTAACTTATTTTAAATATTAATGGAAACTGTTTCGGCCAGCGTTTGTTTCATGTCTTAAAATGAAAAGTATTATATTATGGTGTATGTTTCACTAATAAATAAAATAAAATAAACTCGACATTCAAAAAATTGTCCCTTAATCTATGGTCGAGAAAGTTAACATAAGAAAATTAAAAAAAAAACGGAAAAACGGAATCAGATTCTTAAAATATGGTACGCAATGATCTCTTTAAATCGACTTATTAGTCTGACATATCTTTTTTACTTGACATTGTCAAAATCATTGATTATTTCGATGGAGCCATAACATTTAAAAGAAGAAGAAGACATATCTTTGTTGATTATGGGTAAGTTGTATGTTTAAGATGAAGAAAACTCACTTCAAAGTGTTGATAAACAACATAATCTGATGCTTGATGCTGAGCATTAGTGTTGGATCAGTGATCAATGACGTGTTGGTCCTCAATGTAGACGCCACTTTTGTCACGGACATGCTCCAAGTGTCCAGTAACCAATCTCTGGACACCAGACCCGCGCCAGTTGTGAGAAGGTGTTCTTCAAGTATAAAGAAGCCTAGTACAGCATTAAGGTAGTTCTTCACACTTTGCATTGAATCGTGCAGGTTGCCGGAAGGGATTAACACGAGACGTGCTTGTTGTTTGCGTTGCGCTCTGTGGAAGAAAATAAGGATGATATTCAATACAATTCTTCATTATTATTTTTTAGCATTCACCATACATACACATTATGTTACGTAGGATGGATATAGCTTAAAGCCGTCGAGCGAGTATATAACCAGTAATAGAGACAAAATAAGGGCCATCCATTCCTGGCAACTCTTCAGGCAAATAGGCCTTATATCACTTTTAAATATCAATTCTCGTTTGCACTAAAATCACAAATTAGAAAACTGAAATAGTACAGCGCCAACAACTGACCTGTGTGTACATCTCCGTATATTCCAAAAATATTTTATATTTACTGTAATAAAGTTAATAACACTGGGTGCCATTCCATTGGGTCGTGTGGGGAAAACAGCAAAACATATAATTACAAAACAAACGGAATTTCATCGGTAATTAAATATTAAATACTATTTTATATTATGTAATTTTGCAATGTTCGTCCATTGTAGCAAAGCTCAAGTTAAGCTGGTCGTTTTGAAGTGAAACAATTGACGACACCCGTCACTTGTTTCGAATTCGGGCGGACCAATCGGAGAGCAGTTGTCACAATAATGATTTGGTAGAATAGTTTTCAAACAAATTTAATGGCATTTCGTCTCTGTTTCTGGTTATATTCTCGATGCTTAAAGGTAAGTAAACAGCACATTATGGACCCTGTAGGACACTGCAAATTATATTTAGAGAGAGGAAGATTTACTCTTTATATTATATTTTATTAACTGCCTCTGTGGCCGTACGGTTACCATGGTGGTCTGCCACGCAGAGGTCTCGGGTTCAATTCCCGGGCCGAGAGAAATATTTCTATTTTATAGCCAACATTTCTTTCACCGTGCATTTCAAATTTTGCTTACAAAGATGTGCCAAATTTGTCTCTGTCACTAACACGGGCGCTACTAGCCAATTGCTATCAGCGCCCCTATATATGTAATGAATGTGGCAATCATTTTTAGTTTTCTTTTATGATATATATTTTCACCGTAAACTGTGTTATCTGTTGAGCAGTATTAAAATTTGCGGCTGTTGGTAATATTGCAAAAGCACCCCTACTAACCTGTAGTATTGTACAAAGTCGTTTTTAGCGCCAAGCACGCTGTGTATGTGTAGACAGCGGTGCAGAGGGCTGAAGTCTACCAACTCGTGCGGACACTGCGGACCGCTGCTCTCCTTTGCAGATATACCCAGTACCGCCATGTCTGTAGTCAAAACATTGACTATATAATACAAAAGTTCTTAAATGCACAAGAATAAATAATATCGTCATTAACCCATTTATACGTCCCCACTGCAGGGCACGGGTCCTCCTCTCAGAAGAGGGTTTAGAGTTTAGGCCATAAGCCGTCACTCTGGACCAATGCGGGTTGGGGACTTCACGCATTTTCTCAGGGTTGTGAAAATTCTTCGACGTGCAGGTTTCATCACGATGGTTCCCTTCACCGAAAAGCTCATGGTAAATTTCAAATTAAATTTCGCACATAAGTTTCGAAAAACTCAGAGGTACGAACACGGATTCGAAACCACGGCCTCTGCTTGAGTAGTGATAGGTCAAACCATTAGGCTAACACGGCTATATCATTCCACATTATTTGTATAAATAATTATGTTATACCAATGTAGCCCCACACTGTAGCCTGCTCCCATGTCCTTGCAAGTCGAGAACCACAAAAGGCGCCAAATACGCCAACCTTGCTCAGTGCTACAGCTTTGTGCCTTTTGCCGTTGAAACCCTGGGTTCCTGGGGGCCACAGGTGAAACTTCTAGCGAAAGAGATGTCGGATCGCCTCGTAGAAGCCTCTGGTGACCACAACTCTGGCAGTTATTTCCGCCAAGGAATATGTTTAGCAATTCAAAGGTGCAATGTTGCTAGCCTACTGGGCAAGGCGCCCCAGGGTACGACCCTCGATGAAATGTTTTATTTGTTCAAACAACGTTTGAACATTCCTCTCAGAAGGCGAATGACAATTTAAATAGACCGCAAGAACGTGCTTCAGCAGCACTGCTCAACAAGACGAACGACCGCAATCCAGGCTACAAGATAATGCTTCAACGACACTTTTCACCAACGAGACTCTTAGGGTCGAATTCCAGAACTCTACTCAATACTCAAGTCAGGACTTGAGTATTGCAGTGAGCACTGAAAATCATACTCAAGTCCTTGCCATTAGGGTCGTATTTCCAGTGCTTGAAATTATACTCAAGTCTGCTCAAATCCTAACTTGAGCATAGAGTAGAGTTCTGGAATACGAGCATTAGATTTTAGAGAAACTTTTCATAATAGTGTCTGTAAATGTAAATCTGTATATATGAGCAATGAATTTATTAAAATCAGTCTTTCAACGGCAGTAGAGTTTAATTTATCTCCGGCTAGCATTCTGTCCCTGTGGTCAAAACACCCTTAGCCATTAGTAGACCGATCCTGTGAGTCTGTGAGACCGGCAGTGAGAATATCCATCCCAGTACACCCTTATTTCCTTCCTTCCTCCGTCTGTTGCCTTAGGCGCAGATATCCTGTACTTATTTATATATTTATTAAGCACACTTACATGATTAGGGCCTGTTAGGGTACTTAGGGTGATAGGCACACATCTAAGTGCGCTAGGGTTCTTCTTGCCCTAATCTCATTAAGTCTATTCCTGTATAGTTTTTCGACGACCACAGACACGCAACAGACATACAGCCATGCACTAGTCGGCAGACTGTACACTATTTATAAACTTGCATACATTTTTTTATGTATCTACCTGTTATAGTTTAGTTATTAGTTTGTGTTCAATAATGTATTTAACAAATGGTTATGTCAATAATATATCTATGATAATATGTTTATGTTAAAGGTTTAAATGGCCATTGTTGATGTTATTGTTGTTGATGATGATGATGTTATTATATTTATGTTGTGTAATGTTGTGTAATGTTTTAACTGCCTCTGTGGCCGAACGGTTACCATGCCGGACTGCCACGCAGAGGTCCCAGGTTCGATTCCCGGGCCGGGAGAAATAGTTGTATGGCCTACAATTATTTCTCTCATGAGTTTGGGTGTAATTTGTGGTTGTCTATGTGTGTGTCCATGGCACCCGCGACACAGGGTTTCCCTAGTGCGGGGCTATGTTGAGTGTGTGCGTTAATGTTACCAGTAAAAAGGCTAACAAAATATTCATGAACAGACCTGTTTTATTCTTTACTATAGTAGCTAGGCTTCTTCCGAGCATTTCTTGGGTTTGCTTTAGTGCCATAGCTCCAACCTGCAATTATAAAGATATAAATAAACAATAGAGACATATACAGACTCTTAATATAGAGTATACTAGTAGGTAGTAGAGCTCCTTGTGAAAGAGTTCGTCCAGGGCAGTACTGCCACTTTACCTGTTTCTGCCGCCAAGCAGTAATAACGGCATTTCTGTGTTCCGGTTTTGAAGGGTAAGGGTGCTGGTGAAATTACAGGCACATGGGACTTGTCAACTTATGTCTCAGGGTGACAAGCGTAGTGGTAGTGCCCCTCAGATCTTTGCAATTTAAAGCTCTGAGTGGTACTATACCTGTTATGGACAGGCGTGTAGCTTACCATCAGGCGCACGACTTGTCCGTCCCGTCATTTGATGTTATAAAAAAAAATATGACAAAATACAAACAAGAAATTGGGTTTCAAAATGTCGCACTTGAATTCCACCAATTTTTGGGTTACGACTGTAATGGATGGTGGAATTGAATGAACACGACTTAAAAGTTAAACAAAAAACTAAAAGGACCTTGTTGCAAATAATGTGACTATTTTTATTTACACATACGTGTTACGTATGTTGCCACCTATGGAAGACCTGCTCATTAAATCTGAACCAACCTGAGGACTAAGTCTTCTAATATTCTCCAGGAAATCTCTCAAATCAGCCATGGATGCGTCCTGAATGGCCTGACGCAACCGCGGGATGTCTTTCGAAATTTGTGAACACCATTTGTAAGGGCCGACGCGGGGAAGCAATACATGTTCCAGCTGTTCCAACGTTTTTAGGGCAGGGTAGTACCTGGTAAAAATAAAACAGACATAACATGTACAACATTGTATCTTATAATTTAAAACATATACAGATATGACACGTGTTATACACTTCATGTAGTTCATTGGTTTAGTGTAGGTAGTTTGCTTGCAGTGTCCGGGAATGTTATCAGTACCTTCTCACGCCGCCCTTTCACTATCTTTATAATTCCCAATACTAGTCAAATTGAATTTTAATAACGGCTCCCCCACAACGAAGGCGAAGAAGCGGGCGCAGTGGCCATATTTATTTAGATAGTACCTACGCAATTGCGTAAACAAGTTCACAATTATCTGACGACCTCCGTGGTCGATGACTTGCACGCCGGTTTTCATGGTGTCGCCATCTATGAGGTGAAAAACTAACTTTTCAAAAGGTCTGTGTGTGTGGTACCGTTGTTGTTTCCGAGCTCCATACCACTTAGTTACTTACCTACTTTGAGATCAGAGTAATGTATGTGATGTTGTCTAATATTTAATTAATTATCAAACAATTGTGATATGTTAACATTATACAATGTAGACCATATTGCAGTTTTCAAAGGAACCTGACGTGATTAATGTTTTTAAATTATGTACTTGTAAAGCCATGCTATCCTAATAGTGTGACCTTCTCTCAAGCAGAGGCCATGGATTCGATTCCGCGCTCGCATCTCTGAGTTTCTCGAAATTTATGTGAAAATTTTAATTTCAAATTTACCATGAGCTTACAATCCTCGGAAAACGTGTGAAGTCCCCAACCCGCATTGGGCTAGCGTTTAGGAGTATGCGTAAACCTTCACCTAAGAGGAGACCCGTGCCCAGAGTAGCGTGCCCAGTGCATCAACCTATTTATACGTCGTCGGTGATCACTCGATATTTAAATTATGTCTTCCAAAGAATGATCAATTTTCAATCAAAAATTATTTTTGACTTTTAATTAATATTTTTCCTTAACAAAACTAAACTAAGAAAAATTTAGAAAAGTATTTTAGAAAAATATTTTGGCAAAAATTTAGTTCAGCAGCCAGAGTTTCAAGTTTATTGCCATTCAAAGCAAATCATTTGCAAGTTTCACAAAACACAACATGTTTTGACAATTTGTAAACTTTTTTACTCTATCTTTATCAGAATTTAATTAACATACCTTTTAGCTTCAACCTGGCACTTGAGTTTGGAGTATGTGGTGAGTAGTGGCAAACAGAGTTCCATCTTCTCAATGGTAGAAGCAATGTTCAGCTCTACTCTCCGAGCCCGGATCAACTCTTCAGCTCTGGAGCATAAACCTGTAAAATATTGAAAAACCAATATTTGGTTAATACTCTTTATTATAACTGTCTAATAAATAATACTCCCTATAAAATTGTTCAAGCTCAATTTCTTTTTACATGACAATTATTACCCTCCTTCAGTGTCTAAAGACAATCTCCAACAAACATTAACATGTTTTACTTACTCTCTGCAGTCTCTTTAACATTGGCATCAACATTAGATATCTCTGCATGAAGCTCTTCAGCATGAGACCGTACTTGCAATAGCTCACGAATGGCATCTATAAAACCCTGAAATAAACATATGAAAATATACAAGCAGCCTGAAATCTCATAATCACATGGTATTGTACCATTGTGAAATATTGCCTTAATGGATAAGATATAATCTGTAATAAACTGGAAGCTCTAGGTGTGAGAGGTATCCCTTTGAATTGGTTTCGAAGTTACTTAAGTAACAGACAACAACAAGTCGTGCTGTCTAGATTAAATAAAAACAATGAGATGGTCTCATTTACTTCAGATTACCAGTTTAACAGATACGGAGTCCCACAGGGTAGTGTGTTAGGTCCCCTTTTATTTCTTATATATATTAATGACATAGTTGACGTAACCAATCATAAATGTATAATGTTTACTGACGATATTTCTATAATAGTGACTACCAAGGGTAAAATCTGTACTGACACAATTAAAATTCACGAAGCTGACATAAATAAAACTATTAATTTAATTACTACATGGCTTGACATTAACAATTTGCAAATAAATTTAACTAAAACTAATTATATAAACTTTAATAATACATCAATATCACTACAAATTAGATATAAGGAATTGAATATTGACGAGCTAAACGAAACTAAATTTTTAGGTATAATCATTAATAAACAATTAAATTGGAAATCTCACATCGAAAACGTTTGTGAAAGAATTAACAAATTTGCCTTCGCCTTGAAAAGTTTGCGTAATATAACAAATATGTCAACCATGTTAACAGTTTATCACGCATATGTAGTCTCGACCCTACGTTATGGACTTCTTATCTGGGGAAATGGTACGAATATAAACAGAGTGTTATTGGCGCAAAAAAAATGTATACGTGCAATTACTGGTAGGACTCCGCTTGAATCCTGTAAACCTATATTTAAAGATCTTGGTTTGTTACCCCTGCCTGCCTTATATATTTATGAAGCCAGCATTTTTGTGAAAAATAATTTACATTTGTTTATTAAGAGTATTGACGTGAACCATCGAAATTATAGAAATCCCAATAGACTAATTTTTTTTGACGTACCTAAGGTAGAAAAATATAATCAAAATTGTTTGTGTATGTGTGTCAGAATTTACAATAGATTACCAAATGACATTAAACACTTGCCCATTACATTATTTAAGACTAAATTATATGAATTGTTAAAGAATAAAGTATATTACAGTATTAGGGAATTTCTACAATAATTTTTATGTAAAAGAATTTAAATTAATTATATATAACTTAATGTAAATGTAATCATGTGACGACCTATTTTTCATTTATTTTGCATGCCTAAATTATCTTCGGGCGAAACATGCTTGAACTTATATGTATATTACTGTGTTATCATGACCACCATGTTTTATGCAAATAAACGATTTGATTGATTGATTGATTGATTGAATCTTTTAAATAACTTACAATATTTTTTTAAATAATGTAAAGTGTCAAAATTAGATGACATAATTTTTCTTAACTACATTTCTTTTCACTAAACTAACAATGTTAATTGTTTCATTTGTTACTATTTAAAAAAAATCACTGCAAAATTTTAAAATTTGTAATGACAGTACCTAAAGACATCTTTACCAATTTACTAGACCACATGGTCTAGGTGCTGATTTTCAACATTACGTTAACATTATAGTTATGACTTAATTAAGTAACATGGATTTTTTATTTTTACAATAACTAATATAACCTGACCTCTCGCCCGGTGGCTACTTACTTGACTTCAAGTTTGGGACACCCAGGATTAAAATTTATTATTTTATTACAAATTCATATTACTATTATTTATTTGATGTGAAACAGAAAATATAATAATAAAAATCTGTATTAGCTCCATTATTCAACATTTTTTTGGTAATTAGTGTAGTTGTCTAACACATTATACAATTATAATTATATTATTATTTAAGCTAGTGATGGTTTGTAAATTTAACATTGGTATTGCATTAAACATTTCAATACATGAGATACTAATATTAAAGAACAATGCCCATTTTCCACTCACAAATTTCTTAGTCACAACTGTTTGAAAATCCATCTAAATATATGTTATAAACTAATATTTATTATTCATTAAACTTTGAAATAATGCGGAAAAAAGGTACGCATTTTCAAAAATACATAAAAAAGCAGTTTAATAAATTTTGTTTTATAACAAAATATGACTTACATTTTGAAACTTTATTTTAAGCCTCCTTTACACTTGCAATGATTTCTTCAAAATTGAGATTGATGATTATGAATGGAAGTTACAATAATTGTGACACCGATAAGCAATAACCATATAAATGTTGTCAGTTGTCAGAAAATTCAAAAAGAAATTGTCTCAACATTGGCCATATCATGTTAAGGGTAAACGAGACTCAGGGTCGTATTCCAGAACTCTACTCAATACTCAAGTCAGGACTTGAGTATTGCAGTGAGTACTGAAAATCATACTCAAGGCCTTGCCATTAGGGTCGTATTTCCAGTGCTTGAAATCATACTCAAGTCTGCTCAAATCCTGACTTGAGCATTGAGTAGAGTTTTGGAATACGAGCATCAGATTAAATGTCAAAATCTAAGTTGTGCTACGTCCAAAAATATATGCTAATAATGCAATAAATTTTCGAAAGTATTTTTATAATTCCTATCTTTTATGCACTATTTTTATCTCATTCAGCTATCCTAGTGAATCTATTTATTATATTTTAATGTGTACATACTTATCTTAGAATAATATTTAACTCTGTACTACAAAGTAACTTATTAATGTTGGAAATACAAATTAACTTAATCATTGGAAATACAAATGAAACCCTGTAACCTTGATTGTTTATCGTCAACTTATTTCGTTGGTCCAGGTCCATATAGAACTTGGGCATTGTTCTTTGAGACTTTCTCTTTCTTAATATTTTTTAAAAATGTATAATAATATAATAACGTGCCAGACAACCACACCAATTACCTGGTCTTCTAAGTAACTCCCTGTATTATGAGTTCACTCTGGGGTACTTCCAAGAACACCCAGACCAAAATCAATTTAGAAAACCTCATTTCCTAATTTGGTAGGACCAAATTAGGAAATGAGGTCCCGGGAATCGAACCCGGGACCTCCTCATTCAGCGCCCATAGTGTAAACCCGCTAGGCCACTAAGGTCGTCCAAAAATTATACATACTAACCTGATAGTGAAAATTACACAATTTCTCAATTTCCTTGTCGTGCTGTTTGATGCGTTCGTCGAGCTGCTGGACAAAGGCTTCGTGGCCTTCACCTTCATACACTGAACGGAATGCCGGCCCCCAATAGTCATCTATGCCTTCTATCTCCTGCAACGTAAAAAAATCTATGTAATTTCTACGATTACTGTCATACAGGTTACGAAATCTATTCCGAAATGTTCAGGTTTCAGCTATATTTTCATCTTTCAGCTATACTTTCTAAAAAAAATACTAAGAAATAACGTAATTCTATGGGAAATTCATCAAAAATCAAGTTTTAAATGGGTGTACCTGTATTGTAGCGTTCGTCATCTTGCCCGATTTATATAAAAATTCTTTAAATACGGTTGACTTTATCGATTTTTTAGATTTTCTTCGTAATAATGTGCTGTTTTCTCCCGATTCCTATCTCAATACGGTATTCTAAACAGACAATACAATACAAATTATTGAAAATAATACAAAAAACGTCTGACGTACTTTAATTTTTTCACACAATTTGTACTAAATGTACATAAGGTGAGACAGACTTATTCAAGAAAGTAATGTTTTTGATTTTATTTCATTATTGAAGTGAACCTGAGCTGTGCAGAAAAAGCGTGATGACACGTAAAAAAAAATTGGACAAGTAGTTAAAAATCATAGGCCGGCCACATATATAGTCGGAATCCCGTTTCGAAATTCGAAGGCTGCAAAACCATACAAATCACGGGCTACCACACACACAGTACCACCCCCAATCGAATTTTTTGAACTCGACTAGTTATAAAAAGAGAGACTAGGGCCTACAAAAAGGGCCTTTTTTATGTGCATTACTTTTGCGCAATATATGTCTTAAAGCCTTAGTTCCCAAAGGTCACGGGAGATTTGACGAGCGAGACAAAAAATAATTTGGATATGGAATATGGTAGAAATGTAGCTGACCCCTGCGGTCCACCGGAACCAGCTAAATTTTGAAACTGGTCTATGAGAAAAAAATCTGGGAACCCTTGCCTTAGTAAGTCTACCCATGGAAAAAATAGCCTAGATGTATGTCCTAGAGGATGGAAAAAAATAAAATGTATGTATATATGTATACATACATACAAGAAGAGCACGTCAAGCTGGACACTTAAGAGGGAGCATGACAAAAAAGTTTTGACGTTGGCTCCGCCCTTTGTGAAACAAATATATGCCTGAAGTTCGCGTGACATGCGACAGGAGATGTTGAATTTTGCGCATTAAAGTACCAAATTCGTTTTAGCGGAATAACTCCTAGGGTCGTATTCCAGAACTGTACTTAATGCTCAAGTCAGGATTTGAGTATTGAGTAGAGTTTTGGAATACGACCCTAAAACTAAAGGGATTAAAAAAAATCCGTAGTGACAGTTGTCGATCATGTATAAATATAATTAATTATCTAATTTTTGTCCCTAATAACCTGTAGCATTTCGAGGACAAATCGAAAAAAATGTGAAAATTAGAGGTAATTTAGTGATTTTTATCTATCGAGGAAACTTTATTGTTTTATGTTTCTGATTAATGTCTATGCTTGAATATATCGTGTAGTTACTTATACAAATATTTTATTTTTAACTTTAAAGTGGATATACCCCTCTAAAATCAAATCGAAGATTGGGAATTTTTCCTCTGCTTCCTCTTAAGCTTTGGACCGTTCTTATCGTAAGCGGCACTATTTAAATCTTAAGTGTCAAGCTTGACGTGCTCTTTACGCTGTACATACTGTCATTTTACTCCACTCCATTTGTAAATCATCGAACAGACGTAATTCTTTCTTTTTTCGTTTACAGTTATTAATAAATTTGAATTTTATATTATATAGAATTGAAAGTCTCATCAAACAATTTTAAGTTAATGAGAAAAGATTGAATGGAAAGATTTCAAAAGATGGCAACCCTTTCAATAAATTTTGGCATGATATCAAAACGTCAAAATTGCCAAATCTGCTGAAGCTGCTGGAAGCAGCGAGCGTGTGGTTGATCCCTGAATTTGTTACTGCTTCTAGCAGTAAATTAGCCACCGAAGATTGGGATCGACCCATGTTGCCCTCTTTTGATTAATTATATAAGTCTCTTTCATTCTTTTCTGTAAAAAAATTGTAAGTCCCGCAACCATGGCTCACTGTATGAGAGTTGTGCATGGCCAGGTAAGTCGCATTATTTTATTCTAAAAAGTTCATTAATAACTAGTAATTAGGGAGATAAAGGGAAGTTGCCTATTATCTATAATTTATAGACCAGTGTTTATAAATGGAGTTATCAAGAGTCATACGATTAAAGCGACAAATGAGTATTGTAAATGATGGGTCAGGTCACTTGAGGTAAGGGTCAGAAGGTTCATGAGGTTATGAAGGTGGCAGGGTTCCGGATAACCGGTATTTACTACGTAGAGCTCGATTATGTCACGTGCGCCAAGGAATTTTAATTACGCTTAATGGAGATTTTATTTTCAGGGTAGCAGGACGAGGGTGGTTCTCTTGGAAATCCAAAAAAGATGTTTCAGCGTGTCTCCGTTGTCAGCAGCCGCCGCTCAGGTACCCCAGAATCTCTTCAAAGTGATTATTTCAGTAATTTCAGTGACAATTAGACATTGTTATGTAATCAGTATATCATTGGAGAAACTTGAAGTTTTTGTGCAAAGTACGTTGTTTTCAAGTTTTTTTCGGGATGTTGTAGGTGGCGATGTCGAAATTCGATAAAGATGCGCTGCCATATGACAAGTTGTTGAAGAATTATGAAGTGGTACAAAAGAGGTTAGGTCGCAAGATGACCTTGTCCGAGAAGGTCCTGTATTCTCACTTAGAAGACCCTCAAGGACAGGTAAGTGTATTTGATGTCTATTTCCACTTTGAAAGAAATATTTGTTGTCTCTCTATATCTTTTAACAGATGATCTTACGAAGTATTGAGTGGGTGAACTTGGAAAAATAATGTTAAAGTTGTATGTTTCTACAAAAGTTTTTTAAGTCTACTTTGCTAAATGTATTCATTTTGAAATGATTAACTTGGACGGCTGAATATTAAAGTATTCTCTATTAAGAAATTAGACATTTTTATTTTTATGAAATTGAAATTTTGAATCTTCACATAAAGCATTTATAATTTAATGTAGATCGATAGATTGATAAATAGAATGAATTAATGTTGAAGAAATCATTTAATTTAGTGGGTTGTTTTTTACCCTAAGCTTAATGTTATTCATTTTATGAGTTGGAATGAAAAATTAAATCACTGCATTAAAGCATTTAAAAATAAACTTAAGTTTAATAATAAAATTATCTAGAGCCCACTAACAGATTGTATTTGTAAACAAAAAACATGACACTTTTCTTGAGAATTGATATTACAATGTTTATTGTAGTGATTCAAAAGAATCCACTTCTTGATAAAGTTGTTACGAAATGTAGTAGCAAGGTTATTTTGTAACGCTCAAATTCAAGGTAAAAAACATATTTGCTCCTCCCTGTAATGTTGTATTGATGATTTTCTAGAATAGGGGCCTACCTCGAAAACTTCCTGTTTCATCAGGAAGATGGTTTTAAAATCTGAGGTATCTTGCACTGAGGAGTCATCGACTCACATGATTATTTTCATTGACCGAAAGCTCTACATGTTTGTCACAAAAAAGTTTAGCACATTCTGAAAACAGCTGTGTGATAAGACCAAAATCCTTTAAAACTTCGAATTTTTTTTTTGTAAAATGAAAGTTGCACCTTGCTATAGGCACAAACTAAACTGCCTTCTTTTTTAACTGCCTTCAAAAAAGGAAGAGGTTCTCAATTCGACTGTATTTTTTTTTTGTATGTATGTTACGCGATAACTTTGGTATTTGTGAACCGTTTTTCATGATTCTTTTTTTTGTTGGAAAGGGGGTACTTCCATAGTGGTCCCATTTCATTTTGAAGAAAATCATCCACCTCTAAGGGTGGCTGTTCACACATGAAGATTCATTTTTATAGATAGCGCCTAAATTGTACGTAAGGAGCATTGACTTACAAATAAATGGACGACGGGTTTAATACAAAAACCACGAAAAAAAATGTCCCAAGTCAACCTATTTAAACGTAGTGACATGTAAAGGAATATGAAAAAGCTAAAACGTTGAATTTAAATTGTAATGTCATCGCAGTACTGTCTAATTTTGCTTGCTTCGCTGTCAGTCGTACAAACGAAGACTAAAGCGTGAATGACGCTCTGTATACGATTTTAAGTCAATGTTAAGGAGCAATTATTTTAATGGTTGATTTTGCTGTCTCCAATTCAGGGCGTTTATCTCTCAATATACTTTGAGTAGTGAGAACCAATTTTTATCATCTCCAATGTCAAGTCCTGTATAGTGGCGAATTAGTCGATAATCCAATAGAACTTAGCAAATAGATGTAATTCCACCTACTTTTGAGGTCAGATTTTTTAGTACTCTATACTGAGATTATTATACTTAAGGTCTAGATCTTGCTTGTGTAGTGAATGTTGTTCTATTACAACAAAGATGACATTAATGAACTAAAACTAACTACTAAAACTATATGGTTATGAAAATCATCTAAATCAAACTTAGGTAATCATCCCTTTTCAAAATTTTAACTCCATAAGACTTATCTTGTGCCTTAGCCCACTCTAAAACATTTTTAAAATTGCTAACTTACCGAACTTGAACTAGTTGGTTATGAACTTTATGCAAATTTATGTCAAATAAATTATTAATACAAAGATCGAACACAGACAAAAATTCATTTGATCCGGCTGGATTCGAACCAGCGTCTTCAGCATATAAGGCCGACGCTCTCCCAACTAAGTTACAGAACGAACCAGCAGACCCAACGAATTTCTCTATGTGCTTGTTGCAGATCTTTGTTTTTCGATTTTTAACTTTTTGTTTTTTGTTAGCGACATGTGAGAAATGTATTAAAGTTTTTCTTCACTCAGCCAAGTGCCTTTACAGCTACCAGCGGCTGACTAGACATCTCGCTTTTTATAATATGAAGTTTATTGACTATCATGATGCTTTACTACCATGTTATTCAATTATTTATTTGTGAAATTACTGCACTAATTTGTTATTCAGAGATCAAACACAAACAAAAATTAATTTAATTGAACTGGATTCGAACCAGCGTCTTTAGCATGATATGCTACATAAAAAATAATTTAATATCACCATAGTAAAACATCTTGTCAGTCAATAAACTTCATATTATGTCAAATACTTTGAAAAATTACTACATTACTTTGCTTAACACTTCTTTACATTATAATAGAGATCTCTCTTAAAATCACGTTTACTTACATGTTTAATGTTAGTAATTTTTTAAACATTTAACTGGCATATAGTTAGTAATAATTACTGTCGCATATAAACATTTGCTATACCATGTAATAGTAAAAGTACCCTTAATACGCATTGTGTTGCCGGCCTTTGGATTAAGATCTTAAGGACCGGTGCAGATGACGTTATAATAATTGTCACAATTATTATTTCCGCTCTGTGACAGCCCTTGCATATGTATGTATGACTGCGTGGGCGGCGGCATTGCGCTATTGTAAAGAAAATATCGTACTACTGTGGTAAAGGAATGAGTGCTTATAATTAGAGCTAAACAAGAACTTATTCTCACATTGTACACATGTTCTTTTAATTTAGGTGGGGTCGTAGGGTCCTAGGGTGTTGTCAAAGCTAAGATGCTCCTGGTTGGAAATTTAATATATCCAATGAACATAATATACACAACGTTTTTTTCTTTTTTTTTTATGAAAAATTCACGATCTTAGGAAATCGAGCGTGGTAAAAGCTACCTTCGTCTGCGCCCCGACCGCGTGGCGATGCAGGACGCGACAGCTCAGATGGCAATGCTGCAGTTCATCTCGTCAGGTCTACCGCGCGTCGCCGTACCCTCCACCATCCACTGCGACCACTTGATCGAGGCTCAGATTGGCGGGGAGCAGGACTTGGCTAGAGCTAAGGTTTTTATCAGCTGTTACTGATCTTTAGGATGAAATGAGATAGCATGATGAACACATAAATAGTGCATATTACTTATAAAGTTTGTTTTTTCAGTAAGGACTAAATGTTTTGTTCTTCACCATAGGACATCAACAAAGAAGTATACAAGTTCTTAGAAACAGCTGGTGCGAAATACGGCGTGGGATTCTGGAAGCCAGGCTCCGGTATCATCCATCAGATCATCCTGGAGAACTACGCGTTCCCTGGCCTGCTTATGATCGGCACTGACTCTCACACACCCAATGGAGGTGGCCTTGGAGGTCTTTGCATTGGTAGGATATTATTAATAAAATTATACATAAAAAAAATTAACAATCAAAGCATAACAATTGTATAATAAATATTTAAAAATGGTGTTGCAACTTACCGCTACTTGACATATAATATCTACAGTGCCAGATACAATAAATTTCAAATGGCAAAATAAAAAAATCATTAAAAATTTGGGATGGTTTCCACTTTTCAAGTTCGGAATTAATAAACCTTGTTTATATTCGGGAAGGATATTATAATTCCTTAATTGTTTGTAATAATAATAATTTGCCATAAAAGTTACCAGGAGTATCATATACTCTAAGAAAATTATTCATTTTTATTAGAATCCAGTTTTAAATATTTTTTAATTTGCCTGTTAACTTTGTGGGAGTGTAGGAAGTTTTTATTTTTAATAATATCAAGTGATGAGATGAACAAGTACGTCTGATGGTAAGCTACGCGCCTGTCTATAATAGTTGCAGTGCTTTCAGAGCTTTAAATTGCAAACATCTGAGGGGCACTCCCACTGTGCTTGTCACATTGAGACAAGTTGACAAGTCCCATATTTCACATTTTCATAAAAATAGGCTCTTGTACATTATGCTATTTATTTTCGTATGTACCAACTTAATAAAGCTTTATTTTAGAAATAGAGAAATGAAAAAAAGCATTAATTTTATAATGGATTCAGTTAATCATCCTTAAGAAGAGACTTGACAGTGCACTCAACTTACCAGGAGTGGTGCATCGTATTGGCTTACTACCTGTCTTAATAAAACAACTTCATGAAGTTTTATTTTAGAAATAGTCCGATGAATTATGATGGTCTCAGTACCGAGTGCTAAAAAAAAATCGATCTCAAAAGTTCGTGAAATACATCTATTTGCCAAGTTTTATTGAAATAGGTTACCGGAAGTGCGCGAAACCGGATTCATCCCCTAGTTTGCCACCCATAGAGGTGGAATATTTTATTCAAATTTAAATTTGACCACTACTGAGGTACCCTCTTTCCAACAAAAAAGAATTATCAAAATCCCTTCTCAAATGACTTATCGCGTAACAAACATACAAAAAAAACGACCTCCTTCTGTTTTTTTAAGTCTGTTAAAAAGTAAAAGTAATTTATTATTCTTAGTTAATTATTCTTAACAAAGACTTTAATTAATTATTATAAAGAAGAATTTCTGGTTACATGTTTTTATTTAATTATCCATTTATTGCACAATAGTACACAGTATAGCATCGTACACCATCAGGACCATCACAGAATCTTTTATGTGTTATAGTTTATTAATTGTAAATAAATATCAATTTTTAATCTCTGCTTATGTTACAAGTTGTACATTGTGTTCCACGTGTATAGTTTTATGATATTATCAGGTGTGGGTGGTGCCGATGCCGTGGACGTGATGGCCGATATCCCATGGGAGCTAAAATGCCCGAAGGTCATCGGTGTCAAGCTTACTGGTAAGACTTCTTGTTAAACATTTTGTTACCTATAAATGGGTGTACAGTAAAAAAAGGGATACGTCTGCATTGTCGATATCGCCAGCAAAAGTTTTCTAAAAAAAAAGAAATAATATTCTCTGGTAATGTTTAAATTGGACGTAGTTAAGCAAAAGGGATCCAATTCACAAAATTAACAAAAAATGAGTTATGTTCACCAAACAGTTCCTAACACATTTGAACAGAAACGAAACAATGAAATATATTCAAAAACCTGCATCCCCAGACTTCTTGTGACAAAAGTTAATGTTAGATAGCTGCCTTGCGTACCTATTGTTTTTTTTACTGTAAAATACCAAATGTTCCTACATTGTATTGCTTTCAATGTACATCGCAGAGAAAGAAAGGAAAAAATACGATTTTCTTAAGACAAATGCAAAGTGAATTTTGAAAATTACATAATATTTAGATACATAACAGTCTCCACTCAGCATTTGCCGGGTTGTGCATATAAAACAACCCGACGCCACTGGTACTTGAAACTTGCTCAGCTTTCAAAAGCAAACATTCTCCCCTAATCGCCATGCGACTACCTTTTTGAATATGAATAGAAATCATTAACAGAACAAGTTTAACAAGAGCTACAACCTAATTTATGCCCTAAAAATATACCTATGTACTTTTTTAATATGTCACATGGTATTATATCTACGTTGTAGTACTCTCCATTATTCTGGATTCGCCGTAGTCCTTGCCTACACTAGTGCCTTGCCTAACAAATGTTATACATTTGTTGTATAGCATTGAAACACCATAATTTAAATCGAGTTTTGAGGTTTTCGCGATCGACTGTTACACATAGGAAATTAAACTGTTTTTTCGTATCGCGTATATTTGTTTTTTCAAACAAACGAACGTTTCGGGTCCTTTACTTGCTATTGAATATCGTCAGAAAAATCTAGTTGAAATTATCGCATGTGCAGCGCGAGACATAAATGTTACGTGAACTGTCACTCCTTTGCACGCGCACCTACCTCAGGAACCGACTCAGTTAAGCGGTAGATTTGTACATCTATTTGACATCACTTACAACTGGATACAGTGAGTCGATTCAGAACCTTACGATAACTCAGTTGTCTACCGATTCGATTTCTTTTCATTTTTATGCACGACACCTGAATAGAATGTCATACTGTCGTATTCGAAACCGAACCAAAATGACGTCACACCCGTACGATTACTCGACTTTTTCGACCGGCAAAGGCTAGAAACGTTATTCAGAACACAGTTATCGAATGAAAGTTACCGAATGTCCTATTGATTACATAGCAAGAATTAATATGGAAGTCTCTTATTATTATAAATAAAGTCTGGATTTTGTTCAATTTTATTAATTTATTTTAACTCGGGAAGTGCCCTTCGATTCGAGAACGTTTCAATTAAATTATCTAATAGTTCTGAATCGGAGTCTAGGGGGTCTACTCTCGTTGTCCGTCTGACGTCCGTCTGAAAAAATAACTGTCAAATAAGTAATATTCGACCAAATTAAAAGACAACCTCAAGTATGAAGCTTCACTCGCATCATGCGTCTTTTAATTTGGTCAAGTATTACTAATTTAACAGTTATTTTTTCGGACGGAGAGTGGGAGTAGACCCCCAGGTCCGGAATTCTTGAGAAGTAAATCGTAGATACCGTTATGCAATTTTGACCTGTTACTATTCCAAGTAATATGTTTCTCTAAATATTACGTTATATTTTACGAGAACGTAACTTTCGGTTTCCCACTTTTTTTCTTGAATTTATAGATCATTTCGAACTCATTTTCTCAATATTTCATTACTTAAAAAAAAGGCAATTAAGCAACGTACGTAACTTTTTCTATATTTTTCTCTGCGCGCGTAATCAACGTAACACACGTAGTTGTTTATTGTGTTATAAATACCCGCGCATCGCATGGCTGCCCGCCAAGCCGCCATAACGTACCGCATTTTTTTAAATTCAACGCACAGACCTGGATACTTATATGTATGTGGATTCTATATGTACATAAAAATGAACGTGGGGGTAGTTTTTTCGCAATTTTTTTTGCTAAGTTATTAATACAATTATCAAGAATATAGCCAAATCTTTTTGTTGCACCCTGCCTACCTAACTGCCTTGTTGAGACCATAGATTTTATATCTATGGTTGAGACACTAGTCTCTGCGCAATACACTATCTCATATAAATTGCTAATTGACTACGCCCGCAGCGTTAATAATCAGCTTTGTAAATAATTTTGCAAAGATAGGAATGATATGGGAAAGGAAACTATTTTTCAGTATTTAAATCACGTATATTTGTTTTTTCAAACAAACCAACGTTTCGAGCCCTTTACAGGTCCAATGGTCACGGTCAACTTAAATCCTTAAATAGTTTGATTTCCTATGTGTACAATCGCGAATAATCACAAAAACTAAAAGAACTCGATGGGAATGATATATTTCTTGAAGCTGTTTAATAGAATTATGAATATCTACGAACTATTAATCATATAAATAGGCCATTTAAAAAAATAACTTTACACGCTTAGAAAAACGTAACTGGACTGCATTTTACAATTTTACAATCATCAAAACGGTAGTCGGTAATCATGGCTATGCATATTTATCATGGCAAACTTTACGCACTTTATCGCTCTTACTGGCTTGCATTTGTGATAGCTTGTCGGGCCAAACCAAGCGCATAAAGCCAACATAATATCTCATGCGATTAAAGACAATATCTAAAGCTAACAAGTATCAAGTTCTTAAGTGTCGCATTGTGTCACGGACATTAGTCGTCTATTAATCTGAATTTCACAACGGTCACATGATTCGCTCTAATGATAGCAGGCACGTTACACTACACTTATAATTATGATTGTATGTTTTACATATCTTTGTTTATAAGCAATTCTATAGATAAGTATTTGTTTATAATGTCAATGAGCTTTTGACATCTAATTTAATGATACCTACAAGATAACGTATTGATTTTTATGACATGATGGTGGAATATTTGACGGAAACTGACATCTCTAAAAACAATTAAAATTCATCGTGTTAAGGTTCAAATTGTGAGCATATTTGTGCATATATCGGATAACTCGATCGAACTACGAGAATATCCGAATGTAGTTTCCAAGTTGATGACGATTTTATTTCCTGTTTAATGCGTTAACAGGAAATTGGGATGCTCTCAATCGACACTGAGTAGTATAGGCTGATTTCGTGCATTCTAAACTCGGATCATTCCAAACACGGCACACGTACAATTGATGGCCGTAGTCATAAATTAGCTTTTTTTATATAATATCAAGTGACGGGACGAACAAATCTTGCGTCTGATGGTAAGCTACGCGCCTGTCCATAACAGTTGCAGTGCCACTCAGAGCTTTCAATCGCAAAGATCTGAGGGGCACTGCGACTTCGTCCATAACCCTGAGACATACGTTGATATGTCCATGTGCCTGTAATCCCACCAGCCCACCAGCACCCTTACTTTTCAAAACCGGAACACAGTAATGCCGACACTATTGCTTGGCGGCAGAAATAAGTAAGGTGGCAGTACTACCCTGAACTCTTTCACAAGGAGCTCTACTGCTGCTAACCGGTACCTTGTACCGGGATTTATCGGTATCAGTTTGGTTAAGGCCAGCACCACTCTCTCTCTTAGATTTAATTAACTAGGCTCTTACCAATTTAATAGGCCAATTTGTTCTCTGCAAAGCTTTTTATTTGACCTCCTTACCCGAAAGTTTTGTTTGTTTGTAGTTAAAATTGCTGATTCCGGTTGCCCTCGTCCACGCTTGCATTCTACTCAAATAGTATATCAAAAATAGAGAGCGAAATCTCAAATTCTTTCCATTTTATACACATTTGTATCAAAACAACGTTTTCAGTTAATTATGTTCTAAACAAAAAATATATTTCATAAAATAAGAAGTAAACAAATCATAACAATATGTGTACAAGTAAAACCCACTACAGTGTAGTTCACACTATTCTCACAAGGTCGTCCGATAACAAACGTATGACACGCTAAAAATTATAAAAGTTTATGTCAACATGTTAGACATAAAAAAAACGACGCCAATATTCATTTCACACAACCTGAAGTTCTAAAACTCAATTGCGCCATCTATTGCACACAAGAACGACTTAACAAGCGGACTTATTCAAAGCAGCAATTTACCCCAAACGAACTTAATTTAACAATTTATACTACAGGGTAATTTCTACGTCAAACTTGCAGATTATATTGGTATAAAACAAGTTGGTAACGATAAACTCTGCTGTTACATATATTATTTCATATAAAATTCACTAATTGTGATCAAGGCTATGCACCTCTGTTGAAAAAATACGTAAAATATATCAATAGGTCCTTGATAACGACGGATGACGTCAAAGTAAAATAAACAAAGGCATTCAAAGCATCTTCGCGGAGTCTATAACAACTTTCCAATCATATTTTTGGTGATTGTACTATAATAACGTCTGTAGGTAGGGAATCCCACTCCATAGCCGTTCATTAATGTTACACTTATGGATAAGGGCTTGTATTTTTATTTCTAAATTTATACTTGATTGTCAAATTTCACTAATCAAAAATCGAACTGAAATAAATATTTGACACTGTACCATAAATCTTCTGCTTATTGTATCTGTCCAGTGACGGATTCGCCTTAAGGCCCAGTAGGCCCGGGCCTGGGCTTCCAGATTTTAGGGGCAGCGAATCGTGACAAAAAATTCACTGATCATAACAAGAAGCAACTCAAAGTACCTAAATATTCTAAAGGCTCACGCACATTATGGCGAGTCGCACTGCACCGCATCGTATAACAATAATCTTCCTAAATCACTGTCGTACATTTTATGTATAATCACTACATATTATCACACTACCGCGTCTGCTATTATAGTTCACTAAATTTCTGAATCGATTTCGATAAAAGTTGGCAATAAAGTAAATTCATTATGTAGTCTACCAGTATAAAATATGATGTGTGCTGAGAAAGGGGCGGCTGGTTACGTGGCCTGGGGCCTAGGGCGGCCAAGACTACAAATCCACTGTATCTGTCTAATGCTGGCTATAATTTTGAAAGGGTTTGCTAATCGGCGTTTGTTGCCCAGAGTGCGCACGGTGTGCAGGAAAGGTATGTCCTCCTTTCGTGCACCCTATATGAATGAACAATGATTACTTTAATATTTATTTATTTCCATCTCATTCATTCATAAATGTAGACCCAAATAACACACAAAAAAATTACACGATCGTCGTTTGTACAGGGTCAAGAGCACGTCACGCTTTACACTTAAGACATAAATCCAACTCTATTCCACTTACGATAAGAACGGTTCAAATTACAAAGTGTCAAGCTTGATGTGCTGTTGACTGTACATACAAGAAGTATGTATAATTGTATACATTGGAATCTTTTTTATCTGCAAAATCAATCTTAGAAATCTGCGCAAATGCTCTGCGTCAATTTGATAAGATTGTATCTCAGATAGGTGCTTGCGGCAATATATTTGTGGGAAGCAACTATAAGTGTATTGATAGCGAAGATAAGTAGATAAAAAATGCATAATTGTTTTATTAAAGATAAACGATGACTATCCTGAAAAATAGTTTCATTTCCTATGTGTAACAATCGCGAAAACCTAAGAACTCGATATAAACGATGACAATAAGATTTTAGATCCAAACCACGTTGCGAAGTTTAAAGATATTTTTATTTGAAAGTTATTTTAAAGAGTTTTTTGATATTTAAACTGGCATACAGGCAGTCGATTCACCTGATGAAAATGTTACTGATTTCTTTGCATTCGCCAAGATTGGCGATCTTTCACAGCTCATAGTTGGTATTAGCAGTATTTCTTAATTTATTATGTTATTGTCGAACTAGTTGGCTGTGTATTTCTACGTATACAATTTCTGTATTTTATTCTATTATAATTATTTTTATCTTACGAGTATTGAATTTGAATAATTTTGTTGTGTAAGTCTGTAAGTTCATGAGTATTTCTCTATCGCACAGACACACAATTCTGTAACGCTAATATGCAGCTTATTGATGCAAAAGTCGCACTGTGTGTGAAACTCTTTATAGTGCGCCTGAACTATGGCCAGCAAGTAAATTAATAATGATTATTACAGGTAAAATGTCCGGATGGACCAGCCCTAAAGACGTGATCCTGAAGGTAGCCGGCATTCTTACCGTAAAAGGTGGCACCGGTGCCATAGTCGAGTACCACGGCCCCGGTGTGGACTCCATTTCCTGCACTGGTATGGCCACCATCTGCAACATGGGTGCTGAGATCGGAGCTACAACTAGTGTAAGTTATTTTTAATATACATGTAGTGATTTTGGTTGGATCGGCTGAATGACCACACAAGTTTTTAGAAGTCTCAATGGCACGTGTTACACCGGTTTTGCCTATATCTACTACATGATTTTTCTTTTTTTATTGTATTGCTTTATATGGACAATTTAGATATATTATTGTGTTCACTCACACGCCCTTATTACTATAGTACCGGCACGTTATGATGGCCATTTTGTCGTTTGTCCGCTAATCAAGTTTTGTATTAATTCATAACTACGTTAAAGGAGTTAAATAACTGTACATTGTTGTCAATAAACGCGCAGTAAAATTTATGGATGTATAATTTTACGACACAACTCAGAATTTGTTTTTCGATATTCGACATTTAAAAAAATGAAATCTAATACGATCGTCGTTTGTAGGATCGCTGGCCAGCATAACTTCTACCTCCGGCAAACTCGCGTCAAAGCTCAATGCAAAACAAAGCAGTTTCGATTTGACGATATATAGTAAACATTTTAATTTTAATTTTATTAAAACTAAAACTTTTTAATCAGCTACCCCTTGCAACACTAGTTATAAATCTAAAAACTTATAGATGCGACTCGCATTTGATTATATTTTTATATTCAATACTCAATGGAGATTGGACCTCACTATTGTAATCTGTCGAATCGGCCATCATAGCGTGCCGGTACTGTAAAAATATACCATTAG